CAAGGAATGTAATCATTATCTACCGCAGACATGTACTAATAAAAATAAAAGTAAAGAAATTCAAATTCCAAATTATGTACACATTGTCTTTCCTTTCTGGTTTTAACCTTCCTCACACCCTACAGAAACTAAAACCAAAACAGGAGCCCACACTATAGTATTCATTAGGTACCCTTTTAATATATCGAAAGTGGAGTGTTGGATCAGGGACCATTATTCCTTATTTTAAAATATTTAAATATGAATTAGAAAGCTAAGATGATTATTTAGTGTCCAGAATTGTTACATGTCCTTAGCAAGCGCTCTTCCTCACATTTTCTTTCCTTAAACATATTGATATGTGTTGGTTGTACAGAACGGTGGGTTCTGCTTTGGCATATGGCATGTGCACATAACATATTTTGGTTATTTTTACCTGTCCTCCCATTAACCTGTCCTTCTTCCTTCCCGCCTCCTCTGTTTTCTGCCCTCTAACAGTTTCCTTTCTATTTTCCATCAGGTGTTCTTGATGAAGCAGTAACTTTTATAAATGAACACACATATGCTAGATACATGTATTTTCTGATAATATTAATTTCCGTTTCATATATATAAAATTGATATTCTTAGATGGAATCTTTTTATCATTTATTAAATCTGATATTGACATAAGAATGAAATTATATATATTAATTCCCTGTAAATATTAAGTGTAGTAAATCTTGATTAGAAATGTGAAAATTGTTCATTTAAATAGTTACATTTTAGATGAATTCCTCCAAAAATCTCCTCATGGTATAGAATTGTCCATTGTGAAAGAGGAGCTAAAGAAACCCAGCAGAGTTTGGCAGAATAGGGAAGAGGCTCTGGTCAGTGATTATGTCAAGAAGTTGAACCTGACTTACTTGAAATGGTATAAATATACAGTATCCACCGTTGAGACAGGATAAAAGTATTGAACATATTTTAGGTGTAAATTAATGTTTATAGAAAATAATTCAAAATCTGATGCTTTTTCTTTAAACTTTGGTTTTGTGAATGTAGAATCAGACAGTAATATGATTTAAAGGAACTACATTAGGAATTCACGTTAGGGTTTTTCTTTTCTAAGAAGATAATCATGTTTCTCAGAGGTTTTGCAGCTTTGCATACCTTGGCGTTCCTTAGCTTAACTGACACAATGGTATTTATAGCTTTATTTCCATAAGGAAGCACTAGTCATTTTGGGCACGTTTCCCAGCTTTCCAGGTCAAATTTCACACAGTTGAAGGACATCAGCATCTTTTATTTTTTGTTTTTTTGAGATGATCAGAATTGGCCACGTAATTGAATTATAACTTAAATTGAAAATGAATGTTTTAGAGAAAATATTAACTTACTCAGGAACTCAGGCACGTCCCATGTTCTGGGAAATGATTTCCTTGTTAGGTTTTGTGGTTATTAATCGGCCTGTGGGAAATGTATGCTATGCTCTTAAAAGGGTGTCAGTCTTCATCCATTGTAATAGCCATCAAATTTGTCTTCCTATTGCTGTGATTTCTAAAAAATGTGTCAGTGATTATTGAGCATGATTGAAAATCAGGAGTTCGTTCTTTAAACTTTGGTTTTGTGGAAGTGGAATAGGTACGGTAGTAATATACTTCTAAAATAGATGTGAAACCAGGTGGATGGAACTCATTTCAGAATCTCTCCCTCTCTCCTGAGACAGAAGAGAGCCATGTTCTTCTGAGAGCTTTTATGGCTCCTTTGAGTTCAACGATCTTCCTGATCTCTCCTTTTCCACTTCTTTCTGATGACTGCTTAGGACACTGTTTTGCGTAGCTTGCTAGCTACAGAACCTTCTGATTGCTGCCTTTGCGCTCCCTGCCTACAGTTCTGTGCTGCTTGCTTAGGGGACGTTCCTGTTACGCAAGCTCTGGTAATCCAGCTGCAGTGTCAAGAGTTCCTGACCTGGCCTCTACCCACACCCCTGAGACCTGAGTGCTCTGCTCCTGCTGTTGGGGTACAGCATACTGTCCCACTCTCTTCACTGCTGAGGCCCAGGCCGATCAATCATGTGTGGTGCCAGAGCTCTAGGAATTGACTGGGAGTCACATGCATGACGACTTGAAAAGTTTCATGGAAACCTTCATAAAGAGAACTTTCACTTTTTGAAAATGGAGTAAGTATGGCCCCTTCTTCCTTGTAGTCCCCCACTCAGAGTTTATTTGCAGCCAGAGACAGCCAAGCGCAGGTATTTCATGGCTTTGTTCTGTGTGTAGTGAGCACATGCATGTGGACAGCTATAGGACACTGGAGGTGACAGGCGACCCATCGCCTGTCCTGGAAGTGTGAGGTGGGACCTGAGGCCCTGTGGCTCTGCTGAATTGCCCTCAGGCTCTCGAGGGAACTTCCCTTCTCTCCTTTTGGGCTTTTCCCCATGCGTGCCTCCTCTGCCTGGGACTCTTTCTCTATCTTCCCCAGCTAGTCAACTTTTCCTCCCACGTTAGGTTACAACACCAGGCAGCATTTTCTAGCAGTAACTTTCCTTGTCTGCCCATACCTGCGCTAGATGCCTGTCTGAACTCCATATTGCCTTCCCTGCCCTGAAACTCACTGCCCGGTACCACAGTGGTGAGCTCTAGGTATTCTCCATTGTCCGGCCTGAGGAACTATCCGGGAGGCATGGGGCGCTGTGTGCTGCTGTGTCTTTGGTGTCTGGGCGGTGGGCAGCTGAAAGTCAGCAGTCGGTTGTGCCTGAGCACTTGATAGGTGCCATCCTCTGTGCTTAGGTTCTTCCCCACACTTCAGGTCCTCACGGCCCTAGGAGCGGATGCTGTAATTTTACTGAAAAGGAAGATTAGACTGACGAAGGTTTGTCCAGCCTAGCGCAGCTAGAAAGCAACAGAGCTGTGTCCTGAGGAATCGTTTGCCCAAGTACATCCAGTGCTTGTTGTGTAGGGCAGAGAGCTCAATTTCCATACTGCAGAGACCCACTGGCGATGAACAAGTCAACACAGAAGATAAGAAGGTTCCCGATTGCACAAGCACCGGGAGGAAGCTGCAGTGAGGCGGGAAGATGAACCTGGTTGGGGTGGGCATGAGAGTGAGAGGGACTTTGGCGGCCCCAGGGCTGAGGGTGAGAAGGAGCAGGGCAGGAAGGGCTTGGGAAGAGCAAGCAAACGCAAGGTCCTGAGCCTGCTGCGAGTATTTTGGGGCAGCTGGTGTGGCTGGAGCAGGGGGAGTTGAGGAGGGTAATACTCGTTTTTAAATACGGATGTAGAATTAACTAACCAAATTCATGGTGAAAACATCAGAACACATGAATGGGGGCGGCTAGACGAGGAGAGGGGCGGGGAGGCAGGAGCCAGGTCCTGTCGGGCTGGGGTGACCAACTCACCAGCCTTCAGAGCTTTGACTTACTGAAAGCAGTATGGCTTGGGGGTGTGTGTGTTTGTGTGTGGGGTTACTGGGATTGAACTCAGTGATTTGTGCTGAGCTACATCCCTGGACCTTTTTATACTTTATACTCAGAGAGTATCTCTCTAAGTTGCTAAATTACCCAGGCTGGGCTGGAAGTTGAGATCTTCCTGCCTCAGCCTTCCAGAGTGTTGGAATTATAGGTATTTGCTACTGTGCTTGGCTCTTGTGTTTCTTAAAATTTAGCAGAGACATAAATATAGAATAGTATTTCTCTAAGGAAAACCGTTTAGACTCACAATGAATGATAGCAGTACAGACATGGTGATGCTGATAGTGACAGGTGGCTTGTGCTCTCGATTCAGAGCCATATGGGATCCTGGAGCAGCCGGGGGCCTGCTCACCCTAACCAAGAGGGGCAGCTGTTCCTCAGTGCCAAGTGTGGCCCATGGGAATGAGGCCTCCCTGCATCTGCCCAGTTTGCCAGAGAACCAGAAACCTGAATTTCTATGTGAACGTCTTGGATTTTAAAATGTTGTTTCAGGCTTTAAAAAACAACATGACAGTGGACAGACAAAATGCACATGTGGGCTGCCGGTCTGAAACGTGGTGACAGAGGGGATTCAATAAAGTAATGACGTATGTTAACCATGTAACTTCGTGCCCTGTACATAGCCAATACTGAGGATCACCTAATTGCATGGTTAATGTGTTTAGGCTTCATCATGACCTTTATTTAGTTAACTCTAAATCCATATTAAAAATACTATCTTACTCTGTTTTTGAGTGATTAAATTAATGAGTGGTAATTGCTGTTACTTGCCTATTACTGTGTAGCTTTAGTTTGGTACATTCTCTGTGCATGTCACAGAAATGAACAGTAACCTAACGTATACCTGTCATGAAATAAGCAAGACACAGGATGTGTGCGTTGTGGAGTTCCTTGTTCCTTCCGTATCATCCACTTCCACTGCTCTGCTGCTGTTGCTTCCCTCACTGGCTGTTCTGTTTGGCTTGTTTGGTGTTGGGCCCTCCTGGCTGATGTTAGCTGCGTGTGTCAGTGGGAAAGGACCAGCATGAATGCCATCCTTGAGCACATGAGGGATGACGGGAAATGTAGCTTTTCATCAGCTTTAATGAAACACAAATGTGTCCAAGGCAAGTTATTTCTTTTCCGGGTTAGGAAGTGGGGGGATCTTGGTTTCATATGGCCTAACTCAGACAGTCTTGTATTAGTAGAATCTTGTTTGATGTGTCGCAATCCATTGGCGATGGTCTTGGGGAATTTTATGTAGCACGAGAATCTCAAATGGTTCTGGCAACAGGTGGGGTTAATTACTTGTTCATGTACTTTTGGTCTTGTCTCTTAGAAATCTGGAGCAACATAGAGAAGAACACTGGGAGTAACAAAATATACTTGAATACTTCTAATAGATTAAAGGGTTATAAAAACACATCTTTTTTCCCTAAGGGTTTTTTTGCATTGTTTTAAAATAAGATCATTTTGTTATATCAACATGAAACTAGAGACTTGAAAATAAACCTTTTTTTGGTGAAAAATCTTATTTGTAAATACAAGTTTTTAATTAAGTCAACATTTCTCTCTCTAACTCTTGTTACAGATCATGGAGGAAACAAATACGCAGATTGCTTGGCCGTCCAAACTAAAGATTGGAGCCAAATCCAAGAAAGGTAACTTGGCAGTTTTGATGGTTGAGTTTATGGAATTATTGTAGGTTTGCTGGGGATAAAACCAATATTCTTAACTGTTTTTTTTCAGAGTATTTGTCAAATATCAGTATTTCTGGAGGATTCTCATAAATAAAAGTAATTTCCTGTTTTCTGACAAAAGAAAATGTTTTAAGAATTAATGTTATGGTAGAGATGTTACTAATAAAAGATACTGTAGCAATCTGTAGTCTTAAGGAAGCCCATTCTGTTGACAGCCGTGTGTCCTGGTAGCTTCATGTATACTAATGTATTTTCAAAAATAAACTCCCACTGCTTATACTTGGGAGTTCTTTTTTATGTGTTACACAGATTTCATAGCTCCTCTTTTTCCTTCTATAATAGTGTGATTATATTTCCTGTTAGGTCGAGCATTTTCCTGGCCCGGCCTTCTCTTTGCCTTACCTACTGGGTACTACTCAAGCGCCTCAGGGCATGCATGGCCAGAAATAGGAATAAGGCCTCCCTTCACTGCCCCCACAAAAGATTACATAATATTTTCAAAATTGACCTGCCAGTATATACTTTTATAGATAGTTTTGTTCTTGTTGTTTAAAATAGGACCTTACTTTGAACAACTTTCGTTGTACGTATTTCATTAAAGAGATGATAAGTGTATTTAGTCTACAGGAGATAATGACAAATGCTATCAAATAATACAGAATACAGTGATTGTGCAAGCTGAGCATTATCCCCTGTGACCTGGTGTTTTTGTTATTGTTATTGTTTTGTATTTGTCCCTTTTTCAGTGACCTTTTTTGTTAAATGATACTAAACACTACACAATTTTTCTATTCTTATTTTAGTCTGAATTTTCTTCTTTTATTTTATTTTTGTTGTTGTTGTTTTTTGAGACAGGATCTCGCTATATGGTCCAGGCTGGCCTTGAACTCATTATGTGGCCCAGGCTGGCCTTGAACTCACAGTGATCCTCCTGCCTCAACCTCCCAAGTGCTGGGATCACAGGCGTGCCCTTCTTTTAACCTCATATTATTAGAGTTGATAATCACATGGAATATAAATTATTTTATAGGGTTTTCTTGGGTGAATATTTTTAGCTGGCTTTGACTGCTGGGCATACCTAAGGAATGATTTTGTTGTCTTTTTATTTATGATCACAGTGGGCAGGAATTGTAGTTTAAACAGTCATAAGATGATGTGGTGAATTCACATGTAATTGAAAATCTTTGCATAAACTTCGTACTTTGCAGTTCTGTAGAATGTATTGTTAATCATTGGAAATTTGTGTAATGTGTTGGGATTTTTTATGCTTATTATGCAGAATAAGAAACTGCCATCGACCTATTTGTTTATAGCTGTTTAAAAATCTCTGGTCTACTACTTGAGTAAATTGAAACTTGAGCATAAACTCAATCTTCTTTCCCACTTGTCAGGTATTTTTACTTAACATAACGAACCTCATGGCTCACCTAATAAAAATGAAATTTAATCAGTCCCCAAGGTAAACTCTCAAGGAACTATGAATATTAAAACTGTTCCAAATAATTTTGGATGGCTTCTTCTCTTGCAGTATCTATGTTACAGCCACCCCTATTGTCACGAGGAACTCAGAATTGATTAATATGCCGTCAAACTGTGGTTACAACTTCAGATACTTTAGAAAACATGAAAATGAATAGAATAGTTTTTGTTTTTAGATTGATTTCCTGTTGATGACACACTTAACCTGTGCAGAATGGCCAACAATATTCTACATTTTGATTATATATTTTGCTTTGGAAATGAGAGTGTTTCACCAGAGTACCTGAGGGCATTTGGGATAATTTTCACATGGTTAAAGTTAACCTTTGGAATTGTGCCTAAGAATTGATTCCTCCAGGCTTGGGTCTACAGACTTCATTTCAGTTTTTATTATTTATGAAGTGCTCCGAATGTACACAGTACTGCACAGTGAGAAGAATGTGCCAGAAGAAAACAAGGAAGGGAAAAAGAATCAAAAGTTTGCCTCGCAGGAATTTACTGTTCAGAATTTACTTGATTGCTCATATTATTTAAACCCTCAGCTGCTGAATCAGTTCTTGACTAACATTCCTGGGGTGTGTGTGTGTGTGTGTGTGTGTGTGTGTGTGTGTGTGTGGTTTTTAAAATGTATTAATTCAGAGATGAAGTTTGTTTGACTATAGTTTGTAGTTGAAAATACCACGAGGAACTGTAGATGAACTTCTGTGCTCTTCCCTTTGACATGGCCACTCTCCCAGACCCTGTGTGCTATAGGAGAAAGGGATGTCCATCTCTAAGCCTTCTACACGCCCGGCTATTACTATTCAAGACACCAAAGAATACAAATTTAGGGGCCCTTCCATGTTTTGCATAATTCTTTAATTCTAAATTCTGTGGTAGTATGGAGATTTGGAATATGTAGATAATTGCCAGACTGTGCGAGTGAGATAGCACAGCTGTGGGTTTGAGTTGTACTTCACCGTGTAGGTTCTATGAAGTAAATTGTACAGTATTAGAGTCTAGACAAACATTTCTCATGGCCACTGTTCCTACTGTGTACTTTCTTCTTCACCTTACTGGAATTTAGTCCTGTGTATTTAAAATGAGTTTTGAGGAGCTCTGTCCAAACTTTTACTTTTTAAGCCATTAACTGTCTATCAGGGAAAAAGCAACCATGAAGTAGAAAATTGAGATTCTTCTTTAGAGACTGTAGTTCGGTACTTTGGGGGTGGCAGTGGAGAAGCATATACTTAATCAGTTCCTCTCATTGCTGTCAGTAGGCTCAGTTTGGAAAACAAAAACTTCACCATCTGAGAAGAAAATATGACTGTGTTACTCAGAAGCCTGTGTTCAGAAGGCTACAGATGATACTGCCATTGAGGAGCAGGCGAAGTCTGCACACTGTCGCTTCTGGATGGTGTCCATCTTGCCCAGGGAACTTCACTTTTAGGGTTTGTTCATTCACATTTCTGTCATCTTCGCAGGTGGTTAGCACGATACATTTGGAGTGATGGTAGCCTCATTCTGTGGCTGTGTTACTATAATGCTGAGCAAAAGAACATCTGATATTTGTTCTCTCTGACCTACTTCCTCTCTTTCGTACCTTCTCAGCTTTCCTTTTTCTTTGCCTGCATTCCTTTCACTTCTCTTACATTTCCCTTCAAACTTACTCTGCGTAACAGACAGTAGAGAAAAAGTCGGGGATGTTTCTATGTGTGGCATTTTAGGAAAGTATATTTTGTGGTAGAAACTGAGGCACACAGTTTTTTTTTCTTAAAAAATCCCTAGACCATTTGAGATTATTGGAAGGCTGACTCCTCATTAAAGCCGGAAAGAATTAAAAGTTTCAAACTCAAAGTAATGGACATTTAGGTAACTCTGCAGTTGTCTTAATCTTGGTCACAATTAAGAAAAATAGAGCATACTTAGTATTTTTTCTGTATAACGTGAACTTATTTTGTGGGGAAGAAAGTAAAACTGTTCTGAACTCTTGGAGTTAAGAGTGGGAACAATGTGCTTCACATACAAAATTTTGGAGTTTGTGAAACTGGAATGCAAGGTTTAAGGCGTTGGATACAGATATTCCTTATTTAATGACTTACCTGTTTATCAACTGTTCAGATTTACAACCTGCTGCTCAGACTTACGGTCTGACTGTTTTTGGTACAGTTTTGTGCATCTTGTTGAAAAAGCCTCAATGTCTCTCCTTTTTTTTTTTTGGTACAGTAAACCTTGTTTATACAGTTGTGTAATTTTTGTTTATTGTGCTGTACAGTACCGTAGTTTTATGTTCTATTATACATTACAATACTGCATATAAGCATTATGCAAATAAAAGCAAAGTCATCAAGTTGGAGTTTCTTTGACAATGTCATTGTTTTAAATATTGTAATGTACACACTATGTTCAGTCCTTCATTTAGTGGTCAGCTCATTTAACAACTTAGTCTCAGGAAGGGAACTCAGTTGTTAAACGAGGAGTATCGGTATAAAACTTTGCTAACAGAGACAGTCATTAAGATTTTGCATATGATATTTCTTTCACAGCTAAATAGCTACAGCTTAAGTGAAATACAAATAACATTTTGAACAAGTTGGCTGTTGTGCCAAATAGAATTCTTGACAGAACTGTATGCACAAATAAGTAAGATTGATTTGTGATGAGAGTTTGTCACAGTGGTATGGTTATAGCATGAGCTTCCTGATAGTAGATGATTTTATTCTCTTACATATTTTCTTACAAAGATCCTTTTGCTGGTAACAGTGTCTTTCTTTTTAGACTGGTGCAGGTAAAATGAGGTCAGCATTAAATAAGATTATTTCAGAGTTCAGCAAATTGATAGAAACTGATCTCGGCACGTGGTCCTTCTGTACCAACTTAGGATATCCCAGGACTGCGAGGATGAAAGATATTGACTGGATTGCCTGATGTGTCTCTGTGTGGAGGCAATATGGCAGCAAGGCTGGCTATTTTATCCCCAAGAATACCCAAGAGAATCATCAAAATTCCATGAGATTTTATTTCTGGTTGCATTTCATCAGCACAAATGAATATCTAAGAGAAAAATCTTAGCATGAAAAAATTTATAGATGATTTACTTCATTTTTTTTTAAGAAGAACATTTTGTTGAGGGCATTACCATCACATTTCCATGGTGGCTTAGTTAGTGAAGGCCTTTAGCATAGCAGAGGTGCAGATGGCAGAGAGAGAACATGGCATGATGTGCTGGACCAAAGTGTTTCCAGTGGTCACAACCTATTGGGGCAGTAGAAGTTACTTTAGTGATTCACAACCAACTGTTAAATAGAAAACAGAGTGTAAGGATTTTGAGATAATTGTATAATGAGACTTTATTGTATAATGAGACTGTGTGTGTGTGTGTGTGTGTGTGTGTATGCACACATACCTGTACACTACTAGATCTTTGTGTAACATAGGTGACAAACGAAAACTCTGTAGAACAGTGGGCTAGGTAGTCAGTTCTCCAGAGGGTAAAGAGCACA